TTGATTTGTGAAGCAGAATAGTGCATTGTCTGTTGTGCGTGTCTTAATACTAGAACGAGTGTAAGTCTGAAGCCATGGTTAAGGGCTTCACACTTCCCAGACAGACATTTATCTCAATGACATATCACTAAAGCACGTGGACCCGATTTTCTTTGGTACCATTTAAAGTGGAATTGACCCACCAATTGCATCGGATCTGCAGTACGCGGACTACAATATCAAATCACGTTTGGGAAGTTTTCACAAATGTAGTTAGATAATTTACTATATAACAGGCTCTTTGTTCTGTTGCTAAACCATCCGATTATCTCCGATAGATTTGGAAATAATCAAGTTATACAGCAATTCATTACTGCCAATTCAATGGAATCTCCATAATGTTCGTGATACATGTCTGTCGTGAATGGAAAGGATGAATCAAGATCGACTTTAACACAAGGAAGACCGTCAGATGTGTATTTCCTTACCAAACCATCGTGTTGATGCCCTGTTGACAATTGGAGAAATGCTAACAAAAAAGTCATTAAGATAGAAGTTATCTTGTGTTATTGACAGCCAAGAATTGGCTTTGATTAAATTGTAAATGTCATCTGAAGGGTCGAGGTTAGGGTCGAAAGAGCAAACCTTCTATATTTCCTTGTCTGTAGTAAATCTATTTCCATTAGGATGAACTACATTGGGTGTGGATCACTCATACCCTGATTGTGCGGATAATTTCCTGGTTTACGGCTTCACTGATAGAAAATCTCATTTTGACAGTTTATTCTTTCGCGATGCAATACGCCCCGTGTGAACTTTCGTCAAGTAAGTGAGAACATGGTGAGAGCGTATCAGGCATCAAGGGATTGATGAGGTCGGTGAATGTTATCCAAACTTAATACACAGTATATCTCAAGTTATTATTGGAATATTGATTCCCGATATCTTACATATAACATGATTGCGAAAACACGGAGGTACATCTAACTACATTTCATTTTTCAAATTTGTATCTACTTCATTCTTAAACGTTAGTTAAAACTTGACACGGATGAAATTTGGTTTAGAAATGAAGGTTAAACAAGACACACGCTATAAAAAATCCTATAAAACACAATTGTACCGTTGCAGCTATATTTGACAATCAAGAAAATAGAATCGAGGGAAACTGTTTGATAAGCCCGTCTGTGACCTTGTTACAGTATTTAAATACAAAAAATATACAAATGCAATTGAGTTCATCCTTGAATATTTGTCCAGCAGTTGCAGTAGTCGTATTATACGTTTAATGATCAATATCATGACTCAAATTCGAATATATATTATTATGGATGATTCTCATCGATAATTAGAGAGGAACGTTTTATATAAGAAAATCATGAAATGTATTGAAATATGAAACTACCGGCAAATCTGAATATGGAGCTTTTTTTTCGATAGCTTTGGATTCTCTTCAGTCACTATTTAGGTTTCAAATTTTTGGCTCTTAGCACCGATGGCGAGTTCTAGAAGGACATTCACCTGTGTGATGCAGTCTAATGGCTGTACTATATGTTATCTAACGTTGTATTTAAAAAGCTACTAACTTGTGAGGCGTTTGCACAATCTTTAAAACGCTTGTAGTTAACGATACATTGATCAATAAATCAATCTTTAACAAGTCTGCATTGCATCAAGGTTTTCCCAAGACGTCTTTTCATTAAAACGAGTTGAACAGTAAAGGCCAGTAGAAAACCAGCATCGTTAGGACCTTTCAAGCTGGACACATTTTCGTAACATGACTCTCCAAACCCTTTTCCCCTAGGACATCCCACTGCCGATAATGCATTGAACACAACAGACTGGCAATGGAGATCGTCTGATAATGACTGACATATCCCATAGAATCATAATTGCACCTTTTTGTAATTGAAACTCGCCTTCGTCATAAAGCATGGTCAACAGCATCACGATGTCTAGCCAATCGGCCGGATGTATTGTTTGTTTTTTTCGATACATCCAGCTACTTAGGAGGTGTTTTGTCCCATAGTTTACTCATGGAGTGTAAAGGTCAGTAAACGATGAGGAAAAATGATAGAGAGTAGAGGTCGGTTTTGCTGAGTGATAAAGTAATGGTGCGGGACAATATGGTTTTGATTCGGAAAAAAGATAGATATGTTTGTTTTTAATGCTATTTGATTATATCCACAAAGCGTATTTAACAAAGTAATATTTGTGTGCTTTTTAGATGAATACAAAATCACATCCACTTTATATGCTTATAAATGGCCATAAATATGTATTTATAAACGTTCTAACCAGACATACAAATTCAAACTTTCGTTGGATGAAAATGAGCGTGTCAGTTTTCATTGAAATGACGAGACATGTCTGTCATTGAAATTAATATAGCGTGTCAGTGCCTCTTTTCCTTGCTTTGACTGCCAGTCAGAGTTTCTGGGGACAAGGTGTCCTCCAAACCCAGACACCAGCAGAGATTCAATGGCCAAATCACATTACATGCCCAACAATAAAACTCCACATGAGAGACACCGCGGACAGCATATATCTTCTTAAGTCGAAATAATTATAGAGTCACGTGGAACGTCGCAACATTTTCACATTATCTCCGTTAAAGATGCGATATACAATATTTCTATATAATAGAACGGTTGGGATTGTACTTTACATCCATGTAAAATGACACGATATATATATAGAGGTAAATCTCATGTTTTCGACGCTAGAAAAATAAACATGATTCTAACGAAAGGAGCATAAACCAGTTATGGATTACCAAGTGCAGGACGAGATTCAAATAATCTCGATATATCCAACCAAACAAGCCGTGCAAAGAGAAATGATGCATTGTTCTGGAAGCAATGCATTCTACTAAACAGTTTGTTTAAATAAATTGTTTGTCGAGGGAAAATCATAACTTTTGATAAATGGCAAGCAAAGATGAATCAAATAAAATAAGACCAGTTGTAGATGATGGATTGTCAACTCGCACAAGTATATTGTTGCGTATGTTCAAAGCACTTAAAGTCAATGAGCCGTCTTCGAGACGTAAACGTGGATTTTATCGGTAAAACTCTATATACTAAATATGCAATTTTCATATAAATTAATATGGAATTCTAGCATCGTATACAGATGGAAATGTTATGAGGATATTAAATGGCTGTTTGCCTATTGATTTGAAGTATGTTTGTAAAACGTCCTTTGATTTTGTACACAACCAGCTCCGTGCGTATTTAGCTGATGTTCCGTAACCGCAGGCAATTGTAGAGGATATGTAGAATACTAATAATCAGATATTTAGATAGCTATAAATAGACAGTGTTTAAACAACTCCTATCAGATGATATAAGCTTGCATATCGTTGTTTGTAACTATAACATATAACCTAATTGGTCAATTATGTAATGAAGACCGGTGATTATATCTAATCGTTATGTCAAAAAAACCATTATAGTCTATGAATTTATCATGAATGAAAATTGGGCCTCAAATGATGACTTAACATAAATGTATGGAATTCCCATGCGCTAACTGGCAACAGATAATCTATGAGAGAAAAACAAATTATCAAAACGTCATGTGCATGTAGGAATCATCTACATGTTATCACTTATAAAGATACAAAGCAACAACAAGTAGATAAACAAGACCCAATATATTTTATCTACCTATAATAGAGAAAGTGGACAGATTGAACGAAATATTTATTTAAATAAATACACTATAAAATGATCGTATATTTCATAGAATCATACTGGTAGAATACTAGTTCATTAAACAAAATCAGTTTTTATTAGCAAGTGCAAGTCTTGTCGCAGTATTGTTTAAGCACAGGATAATTTGAGGAAAATTTATCGAACTTCAGGTCAACTACTGACTAGACACGTAGTCTTAAAAAATAATTCAAAATATTCTAAATTGCATGTATACAGTACAGGAGACGACGAAGGAGGGCGTTGTTTAGGAATATATGGATTTTGCTTAGCGCAATTAAAGCGACATTCGTCTTTCTAGAGATATAGTTATTTGGTTAAATGAACATTGATCAGTGTATCCAGAATTATTCAAGACCGTAGTGTAATGGAAACACATAATCAATCCCTATTAATTTTGCTCTAGGAGTATTTAATCTAAAATAATTAATGAAACAGAAAATAGAGGGATAAAATTGGGGATTATAATTGAATAACAATCAACAGAGCTATGTAGGAATTTAATTGATAATTTACAGCAAATTTGTATAAGTCTATTCCATAATGTACGTTAACAGAACATTTTTTAGCCGAACAAACTCTGTGGGAACCATCTTACACTATAAAGATGTTTTACACGACCTATTGTGAGTGAAAGTTAGTTTACCTAACAAAGACCATAGTACATCAGTTGTTATGTTCTTAACAGTCGTTCATCACACCTACGTGAATTGTGTTGTGGGGGCAGATCTTAACGCGGATCATAGACCTGACAGTTGTGCTTTTCACGTGTCAGCTGAAGAAATATATTGAATAAGAAACAAATATTGTGAAATAAAGAATACTAAAATGCTGAAATGAAATCATTATGACAGACAGAAGAGGTAAACAGTTCGTTCGGTTCGGTATTCAATCTTTTGCAATCTATCTACAGCAGACCGGCACGATCACGGCAGTAAATATCGTAGTTTATCGTTGTAAAGCGCTGTCTTCGGCGTGCTATTATCTCTTTACTAGCAAAGTCACATCTACGTAAGATAGGTCAGTTGGGATCCCTCAAGGTTATTATACAAAGCAATATTTGGAGACTGAATTTAAAGAGTCGACGCCGGTGTACAACGGGGCAATAGCATTACTTATTATAATGAATAATGAGATAGTCAAGCTAGAACATGTTTCATGAGGGTATCATTAAGATTATATGGTTACAAATTCCAAATGCCTTCTTAATATAACTTACTACTTAATAGAAGACAAGGGAATGGGTACATGTACGACATTAATCTATAGATATAGGGAGTACTTTGTGCCAATGGCTGGCCATGATCAGCGTAGCTGCTGGACTGCTCCGGAAGTGGAATGGGAGAGCTTACCTATTTGAGGCACATAGACGCTGAGGGACAGGCAATCTTCTTTGCGGGTGTGGTTTTGTGACATCACTCGCTGTACTCGGCGGAAGCTGCCATCATTCATCTGTTTTATGAATGTTTTTTTGTCAAATTTCTTTTGTGGACAGACAATGCTGCCATTCGTAGGACTAAGTTCAATCAATTTGTTTCTGTTTCTTATGAAACTGGCGGGAGGAATGAATCTTAGTTTACCATCCCGTAAAGTAGCATACGGTATTCCGTTAAACGCTTCCACTGGACGTAACTGAGTCATTGGAAACTCCACTAGAACACCCCTGTACTGGCCTGCTTGCGTTTTCACTTTTTTAGAACCAATACTTTTAATAGTGACAGGAGCAACACTTCCATTGGGGAATATAAAGAATAGGAGGAACAGCCTCAACACAATAACAGACACCATGCTATTTATTTCTCTCTGAAATTTCCAATAAAAACAATTATTTTAATCCACGACAAGAGCTAATCCACCTAAATTTGATGTATGATGCTGCTGTGACCGCGCACACATTTGTATTTCCCAAATGGACGTATAAATCTCATTTGAAACACATTGCACCAATGAATATTTTATAACATCATAAAAAAACGCTAATATATGATTTCCACAAATTAAATTTCTAATCCTTTTCAGTGGAGGATAATTCCAGATATAAGGAAACACAGAAATTCCGTTGCTATACAAACACTTCTGTGACGAAATAACTAAGCATCCAAGGTTTGGTATTTCACTGGGAGCAAACGACGTAGAAACGACATTTTGTATAAGACATGGCTGACAAGACAACATATGAGATGACGTCTCTCTGTCATTTCTTCCAAGCGTTATGATATGGCTTTCCTTTTCAGGGGTATCATATGTTTTCCTTGACAATATTGAATTTATTCCATTCTCTATTTTTTCCACAGAACATAAACTTTACTTAGTCACAGATGCAGCATTCCGTGAATAGAATACTTAAACACAATTAAAGGTGCTCCTGAAAGATCAAATATTCCTTGTAGGGTTGGGCTGGATTGCTTTCGACCTATTCTACGTTATAAATCAAACTACCTGCGGCAGACTCGTCGAAGTTAACAAAATTACAGTTCTCGTGTCATCCCTTGAGGTAGCCAGCTCAGAAAACGGCAACCCTCCTTAAACAGCCATTGTTGACGGAGTTAATAGATACGTTTACAATAAGTGGCCTGATTGCGTTTGCAAAATCAATCTATCAATTATTGGCGCAAAATTAATTTCCCACTTTCATTGAGAGTGTTCCAGTGATCTCAGTAACCAGCTTGTCATGAATGTATTTCCTGATCTTCAGGCACCAGGAGTGATGTTATCAAAACAAATTATCTAGCGATGATAGACACAAATTATAAACTCAAAAACATATTCACCCTCAGAATTGACACATTGCCATCCTCTTTCCTAGCCGGGAAACACTGATATGATATGTTTTTCTCTCTGTTAGTTTTACGGAGTAGCCAGGAAGCCCAACTCTCACTAGCTCGGTGTGTTATAGTCGCTATCTACTTCTCCGCTCACACATCTCGGCAATTATTGTGTGGCAAAACACAGCGATAAGCTTCGTTCAGCAACACTAGGTATAGAGACGGCGAACAACGGGTTCTTCTGCTGAGACAATGCTGTTGATCATCAGAGGGAAGGACAATTCGGACGGACATACATCCAGACACACGGTTAGTACGATGTTTCCGCCAAGTTCATTCACGTTTTGTTTCTTTAATATGTGTGGTTTTATTAGCGTAAACTCTCTCGTATGACGATTACAATTATAGCTTTTAAATGATGTTAACTTGTGGTATAGCAGCACTTGGTTACATTCATTACCATAGCCAGGATAACAACACAGTACTGATTTATCTACAGTCACCTGCCTGGTAGGGCCATATTGATTCTGAATCACTCGGACCCGACTATAGTTAAACAGATATTCCGATCTAACACAGATGGTGAAGTGCGTAGCCGTATGTATGAGCTGTTGTCTCCACCCCAATGTTAACACAGCCAGTCGATCTCACAACAGTGGCTATGTTAGGATGCATATCGTAACACTGTGGTACTAGTGATATCGGCAGAATATCACTCCAGATTGAAACAAGCTGTATTGTCCATTCGCCACATACAGCGTACAATAATATAGATGATACAGATATAGGTGTATTGATATTTATTGTGTTTTAACAAATATGTATATTTGAAATTTTGAAATTAGAAAAAGTCGTAAGGTTTCGTAATTTGTACTATGCTAAGCCTTTATATTTGATATTTAAATAAACTTTTGAATGACTTTTAGTGAGTTGTCTCGTATCTGAGAACATATAATGTTGTACGGTATGATATATAATGGTGACCATATAATGCCACACTGTGACCACGTGTGTTACAAAGTGACCATATAATGCCACACTATGACCACGTGTGTCACAGGGTGACCATACAACGCCACACTGTGACCACGTGTGTCACAAGGTGACCATATAATGTCATACAGTGACCACGTGTGTCACAGGGTGATCAAATAATGTAACACAGTGACCGCGCAATGTAAACAAAGTGACCACGTAACGTTACACGTAGACAATATAATATTACACTGTGACCACACGATGTTACACTTTGACCACATACTCTTACACTTTGTCCACGTAAGGTGACCACATAATGGTACGCTGTGACCACGTAACGTAACACGATTACTACGTAACGTTTGACAGTGACCATATATTACTGCATGGTGATCGTATAATGTTACACGGGGACTATGTTATAGTATTGTGGCCACGCAATGTGACCTCAAAATTGTACACGGTGATCACATAATGTTACACGGTGACCCTCTAATGGTGCACCATGACCATGTAATACTAACTGTGACAATGTAATGGTACATAGTGGCCACGCAATACTACACTATGAACATGTCATGCTACATTGTGACCATTTAATGTAAACAAAATGACCACGTAATGTTACATAGTGGCCACGCAATACTACACTATAAACATGTAATGCTACATTGTGACCATCTTATGTAAACAAAATGACCAGGTAATGACACACGCTGACAAGATAATGTTACACGGTGACCACGCAATGTTACAATGTTACCATATGTAGTTATGATAGCAGGACCATAAGTACCATAAGTACAGAATTCCATTTACATGTAAATCCGATCTGAACGGCATCTTAATGAACATCACTATGCAACTGTAATTAGGAGCATCTTAAGCAGGTAACCCGATAAAACAGGACAGGTTTATAAAGCTGTTTTGGATGCAGTATGTGTAGGTTAAGTTGATGATACATGTGTATATCTAAATCTGTTTGAAGCACTTGTCTTATTTTTTTATCTAAACACTGCATCAAGCATGACTGTTTCGCGTATATATTCTGTCCCGAGCTGTCTATTGCAGTTACTGTAAGCGTTTCAGTGATAACGACAGATGTGGGCATATTTTCAAATGTAATAATTTGCATTATAGAATCGGTGTTTATATCAATATTTGTGATGTTATGTTTGCTAGAGAACACTGATTCTTCCATCATCATTGCCTGTTAAAATACTTTTTACAATTGATAAAAGTTCCTTAGTTTAACAAATCTTGTTCATTGGTGCGTTTGTCAGTAGTGTTTGATTCACTGATCTAGATCGGAAGGTGCTTGTCATACTCACATGCAAATTGTGTAGGGAAATTACAACCCTGTCAAACAGTATTTGGCAGATAACTCCGTTATCGTCAAATATGTAGCCATTTCTCAGAGAAAGGACAGCTAGAAATATCGGAAACACGGAAAAGATGTTTTCTTTGAAAGGTGAAAACACAGCTTTGTATCTGCCTAACATCACGAAATCTAAGCAATAAAAACGGGTTATTTATGGCGAAGTCTGAATTATTTAGTAAAACTTTTGCATTTTGAACATTGGTTAGCAATTACCACAGACACACACTAAAGATCATAAAAATAGTGATGTGTATTGCACTTTGAAGTTTTATCGGTTCGCAAATGATTGCGTTTGGTTACTAGTATATTATTGACCAGGTGAACATACACATGTAATATACACTACCTTGAATTAACATGCGCAGTCTGGAATATTGTCGTTAAAGCTCTTTCTTCTTTTTTGTATGCGTGCTTAATGAAAAATCAATTAAAGCTTTGGGAGTTTTTGTGCCCAACAAACACGCGGATGTCATTTCCGTCAGTAAACTGCGCAAAGCATTGAGATCCAACACACGTGTACGTCATATTTCATGAGCTATCTTTTTTTATCGACTCACTTATTTATCTCTTTGTCTATTATGAAAATTGTTTTCTGACCCTGTTTAGTTGTAATACGGGTTAGTGAGCTTTGCTTATGAATCCTTAAAACTGATTCGTTGAAGTCAATTCCATGACAAGATAGGGACCGTTTGTCACTTTCTAGTTGACAGATACAGTAGAAGTCAAGGGAAAATAGGATTAAGTATTACCGTCATATTTTGAGCTGTGTTTAATCAGTATTGAAGAATAACTCACTGATTTTTAAGGACACAGAATTCTTTGTTCTATACGGACACTATAAGTATCAGAACATCCCATAATATAAACAACACATTGTAAAATAAATGTACACAGAAACATGTTGCCATATATTCTCCGAGAATGTTTTTCACCACATTGTGTATTTGTATTGAGTGACATTAATTCCCGACATTTCTGCGATCTCTGGCTTGCTCTCGCTCTGCTTGATATAGTTACTGCACAGTCGGATTCCCGGAAGAGAAATATTTCCTGTGTATTACAATGATCGTAATGAGCTATTTTGGAAGGCGACGATGTTACAATTTGTAACGGGTCTTTTGTTCATTTATTAGATTAACGTGTTTGCTTTGATAAAAATTTAAGTTGATTGCATAAAACTCTTGTCTAGGGATCATTTGCAGAATAAAAGCATTGTCTTTTAATGTAATAGATTATTGCTATAAAAAGGAGATTCATCTTTCACGATTTACATAAAAAAAAAAAAAAAAATGAAAGCGCAATGAAAAAAATCCAAGCCGTGTGTAAAATATTTACATTATTTCACATGCGGGTAGTTTGATGTGTGTTGGGGGTGATAAATTGAAAACATCCTGTAATATTTCCTTCCTTTACACATATTATTATCAACATTAGCAAAAACAAACAGCAAAGCAAATGTAAACAAGCGTTCGTTAATGAATAATAATTGAAGCTGAAACGGTGGAAAAGTATATAGACGAACAACAAAGCTGATAAATACTATGTAGTAATAATAATACAGTCGTTTTCTCGCTGAAAAGTCTATTTCTTCGAGATGTGTATCAAATACGTTTTTAAACATTAGACAATCAAATGCTTAAATGTAATTTTAAATGTAGTTTTTC